CATCCAGCTCTAGATCCTCTGGCTCCACAGCTATGGTGTTGCTAGTTGCAGGAGTGATGAGTGGTTCTTCATCATCATACTCCTCTTCCTGCTGCTCCAGGTGCTGTGAAAGCTCCTGCTGTGATGTGAAGTGCAGCTGCTCTGGGGTTGTTACCAACAGCCCATCACATTTATCTTCACCATCATCGCTTTCACAGTCGGAATATCCTATGGCATAATAATAGTTGCTTTAATTATTTTTTTGTTATCAGTTGTTATTGACTTTGTATAAACAAGTAAAACAATATTCAACAATAACAATAATAATAATAATAATAATAATAATAATAATGATAATAAGAAGTAAAAAAAAAAAAAAAAAAAAAAATAATAATAATATTCCTTTCTCACTCTCAAATACAAATAAAAATAAAAATAATAATAATAATAATAATAATAATAATAATAAAATAATAATAATAATAGTAACAAGAATATTCCTTTCTCACTCTCTTAATAATAATAACAATAATAATAATAATGACAAATAAATAAAAGTAATAATAATGATAATAATAATAATATTCCTTTCTCACTCTCATAATAATAACAATAATAATAATAATAATAATAAGAAGAAGTAAAAATAATAATAATAATAATAATAATATTCCTTTCTCACTCTCAAATACAAATAAAATAATAATAAAAATAATAATAATAATAATAGTGATAAATGAATAAAGATAATATTGTGTTCTTTATTATAATTGTTATTATTTAATTAAACTTTCCCTAATTATTATTATTATTATTGTTATTATTATTATTATTATATAATTTTGTTTAGTTTTTAATCATAATAATAATAATAATAATAATAATAATAAAAAAGAAAAATAATAAAATTAATAATAATAATATTCCTTTCTCACTCTCATAATAATAACAACAATAATAGTAATATTAATAATTATAATAATGAAATAATAATAATAATAATAATATTCCTTTTTCACTCTCATAATAATAATAACAATAGTAATAATAACAATAATAACAATAATAATAATAATAGTAACTGCGGTGGTCAATATATTCATGCATTCAATATATCCTGGATTAATTAACATATTCAATATTCATGACTTGTAACCACATAGTTACACGTGGTCAGCTTTATGTACACAGAGACACACATACACACAGATGACAAGAAGAAGACCGTTCGTTCGTCTCGTTAGTTCATCATTCGTTCATCATTCGTCGTTCATCTCTATCGTTCCCTGTAAACATTTTATCAAACTATTTTAGTAGTGTGAGTGAATGTTACTATTTTGTTTGTTATCATTTGCTGTAACTTCTCTTTTCTCACTCTTTCTAAAACATTCCCATTCTTCCTTCATTTCCTCTTTCCTTTCTAACTCTCTCTCTTCTTTTATTATTTGGTTGAGAATATTCGTGATCCTCCTAATTCAGTCATACAATCACAATACATTGGTGACCCGGACTGGGAACATGGCTACCTCACCTAGTCCAGATACTCTAGCCTCCATCTCTCTCAAGCTACCGC